CCAGAAGCCTCCAACTTTCCCCTCTTCTCCTTAGGCACATGAAACACCACCATGCAGCCGTAGGCTCTCAGCATATTGACTGCTGGTGCACTCCCATACCACTTGGTGTAGGGGACCCACTGCTTGTCCCCACAGTCGCCAACACCTTGTACTTCACAAGGGCGACCTGCCGCAGTGCAGTCACCCAAAACGGATCCGGCAGCCCTGCACGCCCAAGGAGAGTGCAAGCACCTTCCTGCAGGGTCCGGTTGAAGCGCTCAGCCACGCCGTTCTGCTGAGGGTTGTAGGGCACCGTGAGCTGATGCTGGATCCCCTTCTTCTTCAGCACTGCCTCAAAATCAGCGCCAATGAATTCTCCCCCGTTGTCAGTGCGGATCACCTTCACCTTGTGTCTGCTCTCCCTTTGAGCTCTTGGCATCCACTCCTTAAGAACTTCCCCCTTAGTCTTGAGAGGGTACACCCACACCGCACGTGTGTGGTCATCCACAATGGTTAAGAAGTAGCGGCTGCCCGAGAGAGAAGGGGCCCTCGTAGGGCCCACCACATCCATGTGCACAAGCGCGAGCGGGGCCTTGGCTGGTCCTGTACTGCTGCTGAAGGGAAACTTGGTGAATTAAGTAACGAGGCATGTAGGGCAGCTCCCAATCTCCTTTGCTGCCTCCTTCACCTCCAACCCCTTCAAGCTCCCATCCTTCACTAACTTCTGCAGCATAGGAAAATTCACATGACATAGCCTCTCGTGCGACGTCTCCCAATCAGCCTCACCACTCCCAGATGAAGCATTTGCCCATGCAGTTGTCGCATCCACACCAGCAAGCACCTCACCATGTGGCTGCTGTGTCTGCTGCACCTTCTTGACTGCATCCAGGGCCCCATCAGTTGGCGCAGTCTCCTCTCCTCCCGTAGTTGCTTTAGCCGTTGCTGCAGCCGCTGCCGTTGCTGGTGGTTTCCCATTCCAAGGGATGATGGGCAGCTGCCACAGATCCTTGATGCAGCTGTTCTTCTCCTCCAGATCCCACAACAACAGCTTCCCAAGCTTTGCACGGCAGCTGGTTGGGCCGAATGTCACTTTGGGCTTGCTCTTCTGCAGCCGGCGCACAGAAAGAAGGTTAGCGGACAAACCTTCAACCAACAGCACATTCCCCAGCCCCACAAGCCCCCCATTGGCTCCCATTAGCTTGGCATTCCCAACACCAATCACAGGGAGCAAAGCGCCTAAAGAGGCAGCCACAAACGTAATATTTCCAAGGGGCTTTACCTTGTCAAGCAAATCTGCGCTTGGGGTCATGTGACTTGTGCAACCTGAATCTATCACCCAGTGAGTGAGGGGGTGCATCACAACCTTCCCAACTGAGCCCACATCACCCTCACTCCCTTTCACATCCTCAACCATGAGGAACATCCCAAGGATGGCTTTACCTTGTGCACCTGAACCTTGTGCAAGTGAACCTTGCACAGCGCCACCTCGTGCAGGTTCACTACTTGGCGGCTTCATGCCTGGAGGCTCCCATCCCTCAAGCCGGCTAAAACACTTGAACCATGGGTGTCCAGCCTTCTTGCAGTACCAGCAGGCACCCTCCATTCGAGTGCTCCCCCTGCCACCAAAGCTCCCATGCCCCTCGTTGTAGTCACCTCGGCCTCTCCCTCTGCCAAAGCCTCTCCCACGGCCTCGGCCTCTCCCTCCCCCTCTTCCTCTACTGCCTCCTGCAGCTCCATACCCCTCAGCAGTTTTGTTGGCAGCACCACCGCCCGTGTGGCGCCTGCGGAAGTCCTCCTGCAGAATCTGCTGTCGTAGCCACTCAGGTGTCCACTGGTCCTGCTGAGTGTTGAGGGTGGGGATGAGGTTGTCCCACGAGTTGTCGAGCACCGAGATGATCTTGGTGCACTGCTGCATCTGCGACACATTGCTGCCCGCCGCTGCCATCCTCGCATAGGTGTCCTTGATCTTGTCAAGGACCGGCTTCACATCATCGCCCGGTCGCATGGAGAGGGCAGCCAGCTCCTTCTCCAACACAATCACCATCGGCAGCATGTTGGGCTGAATCACATCGCGCAGTAGCTTCCATGCCTTTGGTCCGGAATCATCCAACTCCACCAAATCCTTGATGTGTTGGAACATATCGTTGTTGACCAATTGAAGGATTAAGTCGTACAGCACCGCGCTCTTCTTAATCCACCGATCACGGGCGTCTCCTTCCTCTGGTATCTTCTCTTCTCCCATCACAAGTTTCAGCAGCTTGTAGCGCTTAAACCCACTCCGCATCCGCCGCTCCATTCCTCATAGTTGGAGCCATCCAATGCCTCGATCTTGGATGGTGGTGGCTCATTCCTCTTCTCAGCTGCATCTCCACTCCCTTGACTCATTTCCTCTGCTCCCAATCACAGGTTTAAGCCCCCCCCTTGCTGTCCACACCGAAGTCCCACAATAGTTTCACAAGTGTCGGCGCCAACGAAATTTCGGCAGAGTTTCCCCTTAGCGGAAGTCACATGCAACCTCCAGAACTCCACTTAGGCACGCCCACAGGCCATGGTGGGTCTAGGAGGGTATTCACACCTCAGTAGACTCTTTACAAAGTCCTTAATCAGATCTGATACCACTTGTTAGAGACTAAGGACGGAGTCTATGAAGATTGGGGGCCGAAATATCTCAAAATCGTTGGACTATATTTCTGGACAGAATTGTCGACTTCACAAGAAACGCCATCGACGAAAAACGCACAGTTAGAATTCTCTCAAACTCGAGTACATTGTAGCCCTCAACTGTGGCTATCGTTTCCAATTCCAATCGTATCCAAACATGGAGTATAACTCGAGTTTTGAACTTCGGCGCACTAGAGGGTATGCTGCCATAGAAACTTAACTCAAACACAATTTACTCATAAGTTCACACAAGAAAGTTAGATTAGCAATTAAACCAGGTAGGAGGGGATGAGGAGGACGAGAGGGAAGGTCCCAAGAGAGTCCCCAACCAAGGAAACCCCATACCACACAATTCCCCCCTCCATAGGTACCCCAACTTTGACATTTGTCACTTTCCCAACTCATGCCATCCACCTCACCCAACTTGGCCACACTTGCCAACCTGGTTTGGCTTCTCCCAACCACTTGGCATCATCTACAGTGATGGTGACGAATTTTCCAACCCCCAAAAGTCTGTACCCCATATTGATTCAACCCGCAAATTCCCATAGTCACTGCATCACAATCAAAAAACTTCGAACGATCATATCTTTCTTGTTCATGCTTCGATCGCGTGCATTCCATAGGTCGAGAAAAATCTGGAACATGTTGAGGCGATGTTGTGGGAGGGACAAAACTCGAAGCGACTGCGTTGGGAATGGGATTGGGGGCCAGGGGTTGGTGGCGGGGCCGCTTGTGCAAGCTATGGTTGCTTAAGAAGTAGGGTTGATGTGAAATGGCAATATTGGCAAGGCAGGTTGAACCGCGAATGTGACTCTCCATGCCAGCCCGGGTAAAAAAGGAGAATCGCTTGCAGTTGGGGCAGAGGTAGTTCATCTGACATTTGGGGGAGAGAGTGCAGAGATACACTCTACAACGGTAGTGAGCTAGACTACGGGGGTTGGCACGAACTACTATGAGTGATCGTAGCTTTCCCTAGTTCCTTAGTGCTTGAACAATCACGGGAGAAATCGGCAAGAGTTTCCACTAGCAAAGTTAGCCTGGTTGATTGACAGCACAGCATGGTCGACCGCCTACCAGAGTTGCGTAGAGGAGCCGCGCCAGCACTGCAGAGAGGCGACCTGCCAACACAGCAGGTCGACGGTGTGCCAACGCTGCAGCAAAGCGGCTGTCCAGCATTGCCCCGTAGAAGACAGCAGTGTGCTCGCTCGTAGGTGCACGCAGACGATTGGCCCGACTTGCACCGTTATGCATTCGTCGGCTGTCGGATGCGCCTGACGAGCCACATCGACTTCGGGATACCAACCCGAAGTCGCCTTCGCCATCGCGACCTCGAGGCATACTCCCGTACATCCGACCAAGTCGTCGGCGTTGCCCGAGCGAGGGCGGGGCCAACACTCCATTCCCGTTAACAGAGAGATGGGGTAGAGAGGGCGAGGATTGGGCCAAGAGAAAGCGGATCTTGGGCAGAGAAAGCGAGGAATGGGCAGAGAGAAAGCGAATGGGGCAAAGAGAGAATGCAGATTGGTGCACTGAAAATGCAGATGGGGCATAGAGAAAGGGGTTTCAGCGAAGAGCAAGCGGGTTGGAATACCTTGACAAATCTGGCGTGTACTGGACTGTCACAAGGGATGACGCCAAGTGCGGTGTTGGAACAGTCGCCACCCTGCATGATCAACCGACAAGATAAAAGGAGAGAGAGCGCAAGGGTAAGACAATGAGAGTGAGAAAGAGCACAAGGTGCAGATCAATTTAGAGAGAGAGCACAAGGTGCAGATCAATTTAGAGAGAGAGCACATGGTGCAGATCAAGTTAGAGAGAGAGCGCATGGTGCAGATCAAGTTAGAGAGAGAGCACATGGTGCAGATCAAGTTAAAGAGAGAGAGCACAGGGAGAAACGGAGGCTGAGAGAGGTCGAGAGTCCAAGGGAGGGGGACACAGAGAGAGAGAGAGAGAGAGAGAGAGAGAGAGAGAGAGAGAGAGAGAGGCACCTAGGCCTCTCCCCTTAGCCTCTCATCCCTGGTTCCTTAGTATAAAAGCCCTAGCAGCTAGCCTAGTTCCTCATTGTTCGGTTTTTCTTTCTCCTAACCGAGCGGCAGAGAGCGAGAGAGAGAGAGAGAGAGAGAGGCACCTAGGCCTCTCCCCTTAGCCTCTCTTCCCTGGTTCCTTAGTATAAAGGCCCTAGCAGCCAGCCTACTTCCTCATTGTTCGGTTTTTCTTTCTCCTAACCAAGCGGCTCGCGCCGGCCGCCGTCTCGGACGGCAAGGAAAACAACGTGGGAGTTCCTATATCGGAAGCATACATGCAATGACGAAGCCGACAACATCCTAGGGCAAGCATGGAGGAACCCTCGGCGGATACTACATCCGATCCGCCTGCAGGGCATGGAGAATTCCCTGCATCGTCCGCCACACCTCACGGACCACCAGTGTACTTGTGCTGATCGCTGAGGCTCCAGAGCCAGCGCGCAAGTACCTCCTCAGGCCACGGACCGCAGCATCCAGTTGCGACACAGCCCCAACCCCTCCCTGCGCGGGCGCGGCCAGCACGGGTGCCAGGAGGAGGGCGAGCTGGTCAGCCGCGTCCAGGCAATCATCACGAGGCCCATCCTGCAAAGACTCTGCGGGAAGGGAGGGAAGAGACGCATGAGCCAGCACCTGCACCAACAGGATCACGCGAAGACTCTCCGACAACCACCATAGCTGCCCAAGCGTTGCCTCTGGAACATGGACATACGGGGGAAGGAGTCCCTCCGCCAGATACGGGAGCGCCTCATCCACAGCAGAGGGATCAGGGTCTACAGCAACAAGGGGAGGATACTGCGCCCTCACCACTCCTCCTCCCGTGCTTACAAATTCCATTCCCGCCACGGGCGGAACCCGGGGAAGCCGGAGGCGAGCGCTTGCAGCATTTCCAGGAGAAGCAGAGGTCGGGGCACCCGGCGTAGCAGGAAGAAGTTCAGCTGCCACAGGGGCAACCACAGGAGGAACACCACGATGGGGATCCGCGGGCGACGGTGTCGCTCGCAGCGAACTGCTCTGACTCGCTGAGCCAGTACGACCGTCGCGAATCGCCGCGGTCACGATATGCCGCACGTCTGCAATCGACGCTGGCGCATCATCGCCTCTCCAGCCACCCCCGTAACCGCGACCCCCCCCTCCAACCACCACGCCCCCCGCGATGCGCAGGCCACCCCGCCTGCGGTTGGCGGCGCCGAGGAGAATCCCGCCGGCGCCGAATTGTCTCTCTCTCATTGCGTGGGGAGGGCGAGTGCGGACGAGAGGGTCGGCGGGCAGGAGATTGCGGGCGACGCTGCGGATCAGATAACACCTGTCCGGTCAGGGGCGGGGCGGGCGGCGCCCTTGTCGGAGGAACGGGAGCGCCAGCGACCGTCCCCGGGGGCTGGACGTCAGTGGTGGCGCACACCGCCGGCTTCGGCGTCACCGCGTCCGCGACAACCGCCAGCGCAACGCCAGCAGGCGGAGCGGACGGTGCGGCAGCGGGAGGGCCCGCAGCCGAATCCGGAACATCGGCCGTCACAGCAGGTAGAGCAGCGGGAGCAGCGGGAGGTGACACCGACGGCGCACGAGCCTGCTGGTCGGCCTGAGCAGACGGAGGCGCCACGACCACTTGAAGCCCGGGTTCGGGGAGATGAAGGATTTCAGCATCTGCTTTCGCGGTCATCGGAGCAGGCGGCAGCGGGGGTTTCGTCGCCGTGGTCTCCGTTCCGCGCTCAGACGGGGGTCTTTCGGGCACAGTTGACGCAACGGCAGCGCACACTGGCGAACACTCGGGCGCTCCAGCAATCACCATCTCGGGGTCGTGGAGGGCGCGGTAGGGGGCGAGTGACGGCTAGCAGGGTTGGCGGCGGACCTGAGAATGGGTTTCAGGCGGCCGGGCGACGGGCTTTAACGGATCTAGAGGTAGCTAATCCGGAGGCAGCTAATGATCTGGACGAGATAGCAGATCCTACTTATAGGGAGGAACAACTCCCGCTGAGCGAGAGTGACGGGGAGGATAACTTAGCGCCTGGAGTGACTAGGCCTGGGGAGCAGAGAAGGGCAGTGGACGAGCTGGGGGCCGCAGGAGGTCGTGCCGATACGGTGCGTACGACTAGACTCCCAACCACAATGCGAAATGAGGAACCAAGCCGTAATCGCGGTAATCGAGCCGTGCGAAGTGACCCGGCAGTGCCAAACCTGCCACAAATTTCCCGCTACTTTTCGCCAGATGACTTGGCAAAGCGAAGTGATTTATTTGCAGCGGTCGCAAACTGGGACATCACGGCACTTCGCGACAGTCATCAGCCATCCCTGTCACGGCGATTACCGCCCAACCTGTGTCAGTTATTCTCGCTCGCGTTACTCACCCCACTCCTCCACCTCTCGCGAAATCCGGACTCAGTCGCAGGTTGGCGACTCCTGCTTTTTCTACCACAACTCACGCTTCGTCAAACATCGCCCAGGCGACCCAACTGGTCCACGGTCAAGGCTCGGCTCAGGTCCTTCCAGCGTGGCGAATGGGAGCAGTTGTACGCTGACGCCACCAAGGCAGTCAAAACCCCACCGCCGCCACGCCACCAACCAGATGACGCAGGCACTGTCAGTAGGGCTGAGGGGCTGGCAAAACGCGGGAGTTTGCGACGAGCCGTGCTGGCACTCGAGTCAACGCCGGTCTGCACACCCTGCCCGGCCATCCTAGATGAACTCCGCAAGAAACACCCACCCGCCAACAACGTGGAGCTGACATGGCCGCCCGCGTCAACTCCGAACCTCGCCATCACCCACGTTGACTTCGTCAAACTCCTGAGCCGATGCGAAAATGGCGTAGGGGCGGGGCCATCAGGAACGACATTTGAACACCTCCGCGACGCATCGATAACCAATGCAACGGTCTGCACCCACCTTCACGCCTTGGTCAACACATTGCTGGCTGGAAATCTACCCGGACCAGTGGCGGACCTACTGACAGCTTCACGCCTCATCGCCCTTTCCAAACCTGGGGGTGGCGCCCGACCAATCGCAATTGGCGAATGTCTAACTCGCCTCGCAGCAAAAGCGGCATTGACTGTCATGGGGGAGTCTGCAGGTGACCACTTTTTGCCACTATAGTACGGGGTGGCAGTGCCAGGTGGTGCCGAAGCAATCATTCACGCCGCCCGTTCCTTCACTGACTCGCGACCCCAATGCCTGGTACTACAGACCGACATTGCGAATGCTTTCAACAGCATTTCGCGACAGGCAATTATCGACGCGATCCAGGACAACAACCTCTCGCCCCTACTCCCATTGGTCAAACTCACATACGGTAACCCGTCGCACCTGCTCCTGGACGCAAATTTCGACAGCCCCCCACTGAGTAGCGAACGAGGTGTCCGACAGGGCGACCCACTTGGCCCGCTTCTTTTTGCAGCCGGAATACACCGTGCACTACGCGAGACCGCCGTTGCACACCCGGAAGTTCTCTGCTTGGCGTACGCAGACGACGTGACGTTCATGGGGGAACAGGAGAACACTGTAGCCGCCTTCACCTTCTTCACCAACAAACTGGCGCACCTGGGCCTGGCTCATAACCCGGAGAAATGCGCAGCTTGGAGCTCGGCCACCGTCGTGACTACCTAGCTACCACCCGGGGTCCCACTTTCCAAGGAAGGGGTGCGCCTCCTCGGTAGTTACCTGGGCCCCGCCACCGGCGCCGCCAATTTCCTAGCGGGGCAACTGGAGGAGATGGCGAAGCCGTTACCACTCCTCGAACGAGCCGACCCCCAAGTTGCCTCACTGCTGCTAACCCGCTGCATCTCCAGGCGTGTAGCCTACCTCACTAGAACGACCCCACTCAACCTCCTTTCCCGCAATACGTGGTCTCAATGGGGCAGAGACCTGTTAGCCACGCTGCTCACCTCATGCGGCATCCGGGTCCCCTCGTGCAGTACGGAGCACTCAAGGGTTTGGGCACAGGCGTCGCTCCCTCCGTCTCTATGTGGGATCGGTATTGCGGATCCCTTAGTAGAAGGTGTGCACGGCTTCTTGGCGAGCTTCACCCAGGCGGCGCTTTTCCTCACATCCCTCACACTAGCGCCGGATAGTGCCCTGGCACAAGTCCGGAACCACATGCTACTGCCCCAGGACGTCACCTCGCCACTACACACCTGGCTCACTGAGTGCGAACTGGCTCTGCCAACTGACGCACGTGAACTGCTGGAAAAGGAGAGACTGGCGCGGTCGGATCTGAGGCTCCAGCAAGAGCTTTCTTTGAGAGTCCAGGGGAGCAGGTACGCCATCCAAGTCCAGGAGAGTAGGCGCATGAGGCCGAACCCGCTATCCGGCCACACCCAATGGATGTTCTCACTGACCGGGTACGGCACAGGAGATTGGCTGACCACCATCCCCATCGCAGCCAATCGGCGCATTGGACCCGTACACTTCGCTAACGCTGTTCGCTTCCGGCTCGGCCTCCCATTCTCTACGCCGGCAAACTGCGACTGCACGGACCAAACAGCCATCCCCGACCCATGTCTACCAAACCACCTCTTCCGCTGCGGCACGGGCAAGCACCGCATTAACACCCACAATGAACTCCGGGACGCATGCATCAGCATGGCCCAAGATGCGGGGTTCATTGTCCACAGCGAGTCCGCAGCCTTCTGCCCGATCGAGGAACAAACGGCAGACTTCACCATGAGTGACCGTAGCAGCGGGGCGGTCTGGGTGTGCGATGTTACAATCACAGATCCCATCAGCACTAGGGATCCCGAGGCAACGAAAGGCAGGGGATGGGCGGCCCGGGAGCAGGCCGACAAGAAGATCAAGCACTACGCTAACCGACTAGAGACCGTGGAGTTCTTCCCCTTGGCTGTAGAAACCTACGGATACCCGTGTGCTGAAGTTCCGGTCTTCCTCAAGCTACTAGCGGACACGGCGGCTCGGCGATACTTCAACGCCGACTCAAAATCCTTCCAAGCCGCCAAATTCCTGCACCAGTTCCGACAGAGGTGGTCGGTTGCATTGTAGAGGGCCCAATCGGTTGGTTACCTGCTGAAGTCGAGCGAGGCGGCGGCTGCTGAGAACCCACCTGTGGGAGGGATTGGGGCAGAGTTGTATCTGGGAGACTGCTTTGCAGTAATTGAGCCCCTACTAGAGATCTAGGGGATAGTGCTAGTGTGATAGACTTGATGTTTGCATTTCAGTACTTGCTTTACCTTGCATGTTTGTACCCTCCTGGTTTATTAATACACGGACCATTAGAGAGAGAGAGCAGGGGGAGAGAGAGAGAGAGAGAGAGAGAGAGAGAGAGAGAGAGAGAGAGAGAGAGAGAGCAAGGGTGGCGGAGAGATAGAGAGAGAGAGCAAGGGAGGGAGATAGAGAGAGAGAGCAAGGGAGGGAGATAGATAGAGAGAGAGAGAGAGAGAGAGAGAGAGAGAGAGAGAGAGAGCAAGGGAGGGAGATAGAGAGAGAGAAAGAAAGGGAGGCGGAGAGAGAGAGAGTGAGCAAGAGAGCCAGAGAGATAGAGAGGGAGCAAGGGTGGCGGAGAGATAGAGAGAGAGAGCAAGGGAGGGAGATAGAGAGAGAGATCAAGGGAGGGAGATAGAGAGAGAGAGTGAGAGAGATCAAGGGAGGGAGAGAGAGAGAGAGAGAGCAAGGGAGGCGGAGAGAAAGAGGGCAAGGGAGGGAGAGAGAGAGAGAGATAATGCGGCAGAGCGAGAGAGAGAATGCGGCAGAGCGAGAGAGATAATGCGGCAACGAGAGAGAGAAAGCAAATGCGGCAGCAAGAATGAGAATGCGGCAGCAAGCGATATGGAGAGAATGCGGCAGAGCGAGAGAGAGAATGCGGCAGAGCGAGAGAGATAATGCGGCAGAGCGAGAGAGTGAGAATGCGGCAGAGCGAGATAGAGAGAATGTGGCAGAGAGAGAGAGAGAATGCGGCAGAGCGAGAGAGAGAATGCGGCAGAGCGAGATAGAGAGAATGCGGCAGAGCGAGAGAGAGAATGCGGCAGAGCGAGAGAGAGAGAATGTGGCTGCGAGAGAGAGAATGCGGCAGAGCGAGAGAGAGAATGCGGCAGAGCGAGAGAGAGAGAATGCGGCAATGAGAGAGAGAAATAGAATGCGGCAGCGAGAATGAGAATGCGGCAGCGAGCGAGATGGAGAGAATGCGGCAGAGCGAGAGAGAGAATGCGGCAGAGCGAGAGAGATAATGTGGCAAGGAGATAGAGAAAGAGATTGCGGGGGAGAGAGAATGCGGGGGAAAGAGAATCCAACGGAGGCGGAGAGAGAGAGAGAGACTGCAGCAGAGGCGGAGAGAGAGAGAGCAAGGGTTTGGACAGAGAGAGAGACCGACCGAGGGGGAGATGGAGAGGAAGCAACGGTGGGCGAGAGAGAGCGTTTGGGAGCGGCCTGGATCGAGAGAGTGAGTGGTAGATGGTGAGAGAGATGCAAAGATAGAGAACCGAGACGTGCGAGCGAGAGAGAGAGAGAGAGAGAGAGAGAGAGAGAGAGAGAGAGAGAGAGAGAGAGGTGAAGAAAATACATGCTACGTCGTTATCCTACGTTCGTTCGCTACGTTGCTATGTCTAACGCGGATTTGCTTATGCATTTGCCGGTGTATTCAACGAAATATTCACACGGCGTGCGCACTATGAGGAGCGGTAGAATCGTGAAATGGAGAGAGGTAATGGCGGCCAGGGAGCTTACCTTGTCGCAGCTTATCGAGTTGCGGCCCGTGTCGCTGCTGAGCCGCTTTCGCAAATGTCTCAGTCTTTTGCGGGGTCGCTTCTGGAATTGCTCTCCTGCAATTCGCCAGAAAATCGGATATTAGCA